AGCTTGGGGAATCTGACCCACCACAAAATCGGAAGCACAAGCAGAACGTTTCTTACGCTGAAATCCATTTGTTAAATCCATAAAATGTTTATATAAAAAAAAAGACAAAAAAAAAAAAAAAACAAAACATACACACAAAGGTCCCTGTGTCAAAAAAAGTTACCACCAATTTCCAGTTTTAACCTTTATCACGTCTATGTTGCCAATGAACCGGTTAAAAAGGCTATATAAGGTTTTTTTTATGACATTAAACAAAATAAAAATCAAGTAAATAATGTTTTTAATTTAAACTTTAATAAAATATCACTAAAACCATGTTTATTGTATCTTTTGGTGTCTCAATATCCCATCTTCTAGAGCGGGCTATGACCCACAAATGTAGATACAGCCTCCCCCTACAATATATTTATTTTTTAACCAAATGATCAATAATGAACTTATATAATATAATGAAGTGAAAATATTAAAATTATAACATATACCTCTTATTGAGATTCTTCTTCCTTGTTGCTTTTTTTCCTCTTCTTTATTGGTACAATATCTGCATCATTACTCATTAGACTTTGTTTGCCACACGTTAATTCTGCAATCTCAACAACTTGAACATATTTGTAATGGTTGAGAGAGGTGAGATATATAGTGGCAAAAATGTAAAACATTAAAGATTGAGAAAAGGAGAAATTACCAAATTACCATTGGGTTGTGATGCAAGGCTTTGAACCAGTATGTCGACCGAGAGTTCCGAAAGAACTAATGTTTAGGTTTTTTGATAGAGGCTTTGGATCAAACTTCAAGGTGGAAAAGATTTTATTTTAGAGGTTTTTAATTTGTGAATATTAAATAAGAAAGTTTTGAGTGAAATCAAATATTAAAAATTACCTTCCAGAGTTTCACACTTTTGTCTTTTATCCCGTTGCAACAACCATATTGGTGTTGTTTTCGAGGACTTTTAATGAGAAATAATGAGAAAAGAAATAACATATTGTATAAAAAAATGAAGATTTAATTTGTAAAAATGAAGAGTTTCATACCTTTTGATTTCACAACACCAACTGATGTAATTGTACCATCATGACCCTCTAAATCATGTGTTGGGTAATCTTGATGAGTTAAGCTAGGTCACGGGTACGGGTTCGAACAGGTCGGTTCAGTTTCTTTATGCACAAGTTGGATAGGTCAGACTTAGTCTAATGAATGACCGGTTTTAAGGGGTTAAAAAACGTGCACTTAGTAGTATGTATGTATTTTTGTGTTTTCTATAAAAGTGATAATCCATAAAATTGGTATGTGCGTGAGTGTTTTCTTGGGCCTGGACTAACACTAGGTATGAACCTAGTTCGTAACAAGAAAGAAAGGGTTGATTGCAACCCTCTGTAATCAGGTCAAGAGGAAGATAAGCAGCAAGGAAGATCTTGGTTGTTGATCAAAAGAAAGATGCAACAGCAAAAGTTTGTTGTATGTTAGCAAGAATCAGTAAGCAATAAAGCATGTAGAAAGAAGAAAGAATAAAAGAAAGAAGTAGCAAGAAAAGAAAAGCATGTAGCAAGGTTGATCATGCTTTGGTGAAAAAATGAAAAGCAAGATAGCAAGCATGAAGTTTGTAGCAAGTAGCAAACCAGAAAGCAAGTAGTAGTCAGTGGCGGATTTGATGAGGGGCACAGGGTTACACCGACAACATCTGCTTTCCCGGCAGACAGTAGAAAATTTTTCGATTTTTTTTTTACCTTTTGTGCCACTACGTAAAAAAAATGGCAACTACTTAAAAAAATGTAAACACGTTGGACCAATTAAGCCCCAATAATTAGTAGCCCAAACACATTTTATTTTAATCCACCTAATATTAGCCTAAAAGAAAAAGAATATGAGAAAATAACTCAAATAAAACAATTATCCAAGTGTCCAATTGGGTCCAAGAGTCCAAGTCTCAATTCTTGAATCACAAAAGAAAAAAAACCGAGAGCCTCGTTTTTTTTCCTTCTGTCCGTTCTCACATTCGACAATCACGACTTCGTTCTTCTAATCTTCTTCTTCAAGTTCGACCGATAATCCACAGTTTCCAAGTGCAAAAATCGATTTCCAACTTCCAAATGCAAAAATAACTCCAATCCAAGGTCCAAACCCTAATGAAGCAAGTAAGTATTTCTAATTTTCTATGGTTTTCGAATTTATAGTTGTAATTGCTAAGCAAAATTCAAAATTGCTATGGTTTATAGGTTAAAATTTCTATGAAGTTATTGGATATTTGGATGATTTGGTAAAATTGCTATGTTATTATAGAAATTATTGTTTGATTAGTTGTAATTTCTATGATTTTTATGAATTGATTGTTTGATATCTTAAAATTGCTATGTTTTAGGTTTACATGTTATTGTTTGATTAGGTATTTGGTGAAAATTCAATGTTTTATTGAAGTTATTTTTTTATTAGGTTAAATTGTTATGTTTCTATAGGTTAAAATAAGTGGTTTTTTTTACCAAAAGACCAAGACCTAATCCTAATGAAAGTGGTGAAGGATGTTCCCAAACACCAATCACCAATCAATCAATCCCTTTCGTTTCTAATTCTAATACAACCCCACAAACACCAATCACCAATCAATTAACCCCTTCAGTTTCTAATGCAATTCCACAAACACCATGCTCTAATGAACCTAATGATAATGTTGATTTGAAAGATCTTCCAAAGGACCTGGCGGATAGGCCAAAGATTACAAGTTACGAATCAAATGTAAGAGATGATGTAAGAAGAGCGTTTTTGCTTCAAGGACCTTGTCAAATAAGGTTACATAAGTTTCCAAAAAAGAAAATAGGTAATAGATTTAGAAGATTCGTTCCTTTATGGTTTGATGATTTTGATTGGTTGGAATATAGTGTGAAAAAGAATAGAGCATATTGTTTATATTGTTATGTGTTTAGAGACCTCATGAATCAAAGAGGAGGGAGAAATGCATTTGTTTCCCAAGGTTTTGATACTTGGAATAAAAAATATGTATTTCGGACTCATGTGGGTAGTGTTGATAGTTTGCACAACAAAGCAAGAGAAAAGTGTGAATTTTTATTGAGAGAAAAATAAGTTATTAATGTAGTCTTGAGGAGGAAAACCGAAGCGGAGGACCATAAATATAAAGATCGATTACGTGTTTCTATTATTGTTGTTAGACTTTTATTGAAAACCGGTTTACCGTTTCGTGGTCATGATGAGTCGATGAACTCGTGAAATAGAGGGCTTTACATTGTAGTGTTAAAAGCCATTTGAAAGACTAATGAAGATATTTTCAACAATACTTTAGAAAATGCTCCTAAAAATAATCAACTTATTTCCCCTAAATTCAAAAAGAACTTGTACAATGTTTTTGTTGGGAATAAAACCCTAATTGTGATTTGATGAACAACATGCTGAATATAAGAACACACACAATAAAGAAGATATGTTGAATGATCACTCATTTTATTCAAAACATGAGAAATAAATTACACTTTCAGAATAGACTAAAGAATCTAACTCTACATAAGAAACCTCACAATGTTTGGCATCTACATTTTGCCTCACTCTTAACCCTAATTCTGAATAATACATGACTATTTATAGGGAAAATACAAGTCTTGGGCTTTTTAACCTACACTTCATCAAGGGGGCCTATTGCCATAATCCATGGAGTTCTTTGAAACCCTACAATCTCCCCCTCAAAGTATGGAATGGATGACAAGGATGCAACTTCCAAAACAAGAATCTAGCAAATAAGAAATGATCTCGCGACGAGGAATATTTGAAGCAATCCATGAATCTTGATTCTTCAATAGTCTTCAAAAATGGGTTCTAGGATATATATAAACCAAGCACTGAAGTAATGTCTTCAAACTTCATTTTCTAATGTTATCCCAAAGATCTTCAACAAAACCAAACCCGCCATAAAAACCTATTTCAGAATTAAGAAACCAAATCACTTCTTGTCTTCGAAGAACTCCCCCTCCAAGTCACAATGATCTTCAAATAAGCTAATGATATAAGCCACCAAAAAATATCATGTAACAACCCAAATTTAAGATTCGTAACGCCACTTGATCGAGAAAATACTAGAAGTTGGAGATATAACAAGGCCTTAGAAGAGCTTGACGAAGAACTGCTATTGTAAAGGCTACTTCTCTGTAAAAGCTTTAGAAGAGCTCGATGAAGAAATGCTACTGTAAAAGCTACCTTCATAATTCTACCACAAGCTTCATCAAAAATCTTCAAATTTGAAAAGTCACAAATCCAATTTCTAATGGCCATACCAAATTCTCCCCCGATTTATAATAAAAAATGTGATTATAAAGCCTTCAAATGGTCATGAGAATGATCTTGAATGGATAAAAACTTACTATGCTCCCGCGCGACAGAGTGATATACACAATGAAGTATAAAATCCGAAAGAGTCGAAAAAAACTTGATGTTATTGCGAAAAACGACTTTCTGAACCGTCAAGACTTGATGGAATCCTTAATTTTTTGTTCACGAAAAAATATGTGCATTAAAGAATCCAAAACTGTTACCCACCCCTAAATTCGCAAACGTTTTGAAAAAAGGGCTGAAACCGTCACACTGCTGAAAGTTAGGGGACTGAAATAATAATTCTGCATCATACTCCCCTTCATCTGTAACAATTTCTAGAAATGGACTAAAATCGCCAAGCTGTGAAAACAATAGGAATCAAAAGTGTCAAATCGTTGAAGCTGCAGGGACCAAAAGTGAAACTTGAGTCATCTTCCTCCCCATTTAATATCTGATGAACGAACAAAGCTTCATAACTCGTAATCATGAAGTTTGAATGCAACTTCGATCAATCATATATTCCGAGCACAGAGTTCCGCCAAGCATCACACTCCGGTTCCGAATCCAACAATTCCAATGCCGATTGCGAATCAATGTCAACCCCGAATCCAAGTATCAAACAAAGATTCCAATCATCGAACAACCCTTCAATCCTAGCACACAGCGTGTCTATTGGGAATCCGAATCCGAGTTCAATAGTGCGAATCTGAGACATTCGTAGTTCCAATCGCAAGGGGTTCATTACGAGTCGGGCAGAAGCGAATCAAAGTTACAGGTTCGCTGTGAATCCCAATTAACCGAGTTCGCTGCGAATCAATGTCTACCACAGACGCGATGCGTAACACTGGGAAATCCGAATCCAAAGTTTTAAACGATTGTGGGAGAAAATGAGTGCGAGCCCAGTTCCGATCGTTCGTAGGTTGGCGTTCGCAATTCATCAATTTTGACTTTTCTGTTGACTTTTCATTCATCGTATCCTAAATCGGTTTCTCAATTTCTGTTGATATAAGTTTCAATCTCGTGATTTCATTCAAACTGCCAAATTCAATATCACAAGAACTATTCTGATTATGTTCGCAGGTAAGGTCTTTCGTTCATAGTTCACCCAGAAATTGATTTTGACCATCAAATGCGAACAGATACACATAACATTCTGAATGTGATGCCATCGCACCTACTGCCGTCATTCTGATTCTCATTCACAGCTTCTTTTACATATCATCTTCCATAAACACAAAATTTCAACTTTCAAGAATTTTTTTTAGATCAAACGTCATATTTCAATTAAAGTCGGCACCATCTTCATCTGTTCTTGAACTGGTTCTTGATTCCATCATCTTTGACATAGCTCAACTCGAATTACATTTAAGAACATCGATCATCATCATCACCATTTTCAACTCGTTTTAGAATTGATTTTAAGAATCAAAAAATAAAAAATTGAGAATCAAAATATAGTCGAATCATGAAATCGATTTGATAAACCAAATAAGATTGATAAGTAGAAACACATTAGACGATCTGGATCAAAGAATCGAGTGATGAAATCGAGCAAGGGAAATTTATAAATTGGAAGTTTTAGAATCGAGAACTGATTATGTATTGTCCAAGTGATGAACAGTAGCGACTATAATGGGCTCAATAACAGAAACAAATCGGTGAAACAAATATGGATTAAAATAATTGGGCTAAACGATCAAAACAATAAAATCGATATTGGATCAAAGAATTGATCAGATTCAAACAGAATATAATAAACCAGATGAACAGTAGAAGAACACCATAAATCATCGATAAACAGATGAACAGTCGATGAACAGATACGAATGAGATTGAAATAATACCAGATGAACAGTAGAAGAACACCATAAATCATCATGAACAGTAGAAAAAAAAACATTGATTCCAAACCGCCAAAACACCAATAATCTTCAATAATTTGTGCAGGAAATCATCAAATCAAGAACCGATGCTTCAAAAATCAATAGATCTTCAAAGACCCACTCTGATACCACTTGTTCGGAATAAAACCCTAATTGTGATTTGATGAACAAGATGCAGAAAATAAGAACACACAATAAAGAAGATATTTCGAATGATCACTCGTTTTATTCTAAACATGAGGAATAAATTACACTTTAAGAATAGACTAAAGAATCTAACTCTACATAAAAAACGGCTACATTTTGCCTCACTCTTAACCCTAATTATGAATAATACATGACTATTTATAGGGAAAAGACAAGTCTTGAGCTTTTAACCTACACTTCATCAAGGGGCTCATTGCCATAATCCATGGAGTACTTTGAAACCCTACAATTTTGCACAAGAAGTCCTTTTGAGTATTCGCCAAGAGATTGGTGTAGATGTATTTGCTTTATTGGTCGATGAATCTAGTGATATCTCGAGAAAGGAACAAATGGCTATTGTTTTGCGATATGATGATAGTCTTGGCTTTGTGAAAGAAAGATTAATAGGCATTGTGCATGTGAATGATACATCCTCTTTGACACTAAAAAACGCATAAATGAAGTACTTACAAGCAACAAGTTGAGTTTTAGTCAGGAAACTTTTTTTTATTTCAATTTAATTTAATTTGCTTTATGTGTAATATTATATATAATATTTTTTTAATTTTTTTAATAGATAAGAGGACAAGGTTATGATGGGGCTAGCAATATGTGAAGAGAATTCAATGGTTTGAAAGCTTTGATATTACAAGAGAATGACACAGCTTTTTATATATATTGCTTTGAATACCAACTTCAATTAGTGGTTGTGGCTGTAGCAAAGAAGCATGATGGTGTTAGTGACTTTTGTAGTTGAATTAATCGAGTAAGAGAATCAAAATCAGAGTAAATATGAACACAAGAAGTAAATAAGGTCTGGTTTTAGCTCTCATTACTTCCAATGAACACGAGTACAAAACGTAAGCAGAATTGGGAAAACTCTACTTACAACTCAATGTTCAGCTCCTATTTATAGGAGGCTGAAAGTACAAAAAATACTAAGGCTAAACATCTAAGCTTCGTAAAAACAGATGCCTTAGTAAATACATAAGAAACATACGAAAATGACTATTACATAGACTTCGACATTTCGACATATTACATGATATTTCGACTCTACAATCTCCCCCTTTGTAATCATGTCGAACTTCTCAATTCGTGAGAATTTGTGCAGCAAAATGAATCATTCTTCGTATCTCTGAGTACCACATCAAAATCTTCCCCAACTCCGTTTTATCCCCATCATTGTTCTTCTTGCAATTATTCATACGAAGAATGAAGTTCGTATATTGCGAAGCGGTATACCTTTCAATCTCCGAAGTTTGAAACAAAACCTCTTCGCTTTGCCATTTTTGTCTTTCCCAGCAAAGACCATTCCGAAAGGCTTCAAACAGATTTCCCCATCAGCAAACTTCTTCAATTCTGCTTGAGTCTTCGGTAATTCCATCGCAACATTTACTTCCTTTCCCATTGCTGATGCTAACTCCACATCAGTCAATGCCAGACAATCATAGTAATTGTCTATGAAGATTTTAATATGTGCAAGACCAAGTCTCAAAACATCTTTGTCTGTTCCTTGAAGTTGCGAAGCCTCCATATCTTTCAAAATTAATGCAACTTGAATCAGATCATTCAAGTTCATTAGAGGAAAATCAACAAAAGAAAAGTCACAAACTTGATTGTTCGCCCTTACAACAAAATATTGAAAATTATGTATCATGTTCTCGAACATCACATCCTTCGTTATCTTGATAACTTTTTTTAATCTTCACCAAAGACCATATTTCTTCAGGCTCTTTGCCCACAACTGCATGAAACCTAAGTTTCAAATGGATATAATCATCCTCATTTTCGAACTTCTCAACAATTTTGTACTGAGCCATAATAAACATCATTTCGTTCACAGGGAAATCAAGTTGACTCATATCAGTGTTAGTGATAGTGTAACTTTTCTTCAACTTCTTCTCAAATGCATACATGTGATTGTACGCTACTCTTGCTTCAATATTCTCGTAACTGTACAACTTTGTTGGATCTCCTTTCTCCATACCAGGCGGATCACTTTCACGAATTCTCATTATACTTTGTATCTGCCTCAGTTTATCCATTTCAGCTTCCTTTTCAGCCTTCTTTTCTTCCTTTGATTTTTCAATCACAACCACTTTTCCTTTATCGCTACTATCCTCTGAAACTTTTGGATTTGACGAACTAGAACTTCCTCCTTCAGTTGTCGAACCACCAATTACAATTCCCTTCAAAATGGGTCTTGTTGTTGTCTTGATGGCCTCAGTTGTATTCGTCAATGGAACTATCAGAACTGTGACTTGAGTAGATACAACTTTCGTTACTTCACCAGTAGTAACAATCTTCTCAGTCTTCTTCGGCTTTTCCACCACTTTTGTAACTTTCGAAGGTTTGCTTTCTTGAGTTTTCTTTTCTCCCCCTTGCACCCCTGTGACAACAAGTGGGGCACCAGTAGGTAACATATTCGCAAACTTCGAAATTGGAGCCACAGCCTTCTGAATGGCTTGATCCAAGGAATGTAACTTCTGAATTAAAAACTCAGGAGTTAAAAGTGAAGTTGGAACTGGCTTCGACACTAACTCTTTGAATTCCCCAAGCAAAACACCATCTTTTCGAATTGCTGAGCATCCGCTTTATCCTTTGCATCAAACTTTGGAGTCACAGCTTGATACCATTCGACAACTGTTCGGACAACAACTGCAATAGTGTCAACATTCGATTGAAGTGTCGAATAATTAGAATTCAGCGCATTCAGTTCTTTGGAGACTTCTACCTTCAGCTCCTCCAATTTTCGATTCACATCTTCACGAACTGTCTTGACATCTTTAACAAAAAGAACATGTCGTTCTTTTGTTGTCAAACGAATATCGTTGAGTGCAGATTTAAACGAATCATTTTGATCTTTGACCCTCAATTCGTTATTTTTATCCATAACATCCATTTGTTTTTGCATGCGATGCTCTACAGCTTTGAGCATCACATCTACTTCAATCCCAGACAATGTGTTCTTGGCTCCGGAATCAGCTTGTGATTGAAGAATAGCATTAAGTTTGCGATTTAGGATCTTGAACTGCTTAACAGACATTAACATATGATCTGGTATATCTTCTTCCTCTGAATCAAAATGTAGATCTTCAAACGTTCCTCTGAAACCGCCTCCATCTGTTTCTTCATCGGAATTAGGTTTTGGTGGATCGGTGGATTGAGATGCGAAAAGTGTAGTGAAGGGTTGGTGTAAGACATGTTCGAAAGTTGGTGAAGGAATGGTAGTAGAAACTGGTGTAATAAATGGTGGTAATGAAACAATAGTACTTGTGATTGGTTCAGAAACAAAGGTAATAGGAATACCTTGAGATGATAGATCAACATTCTGAGAAACATGTACACCCATATCAGATACTTTTGTAACAATGTTGGAAATTGGAACCTCCTCAGGAATTGATGTGGTTACCACAATTTCGAGTGGAACTGTTGTGATTGGCAAGGAAACAGGTTTGATGATAAGAGGTTGTGTTGGAGAATTCGAACCCAAAGGAGATTTTGGAACAATCTCTTCTTTTGTGGACTCATCTTGAACAATCAACTTTCGCTTCTTCCTCTTCTTATTGATATGCTTCGCCACATCTTCTGCTCTTCTCTTTTTGGATGATGGTGAAACGGGTGCAGGAATCTCACGAACTTTAACTCATTTTCTATTAAGCTGTGGTTTATGAATAGTAGGAGATTGATCTTCTGAAGTTCGTTTGATAAAATAAAACTTCCTTAACCGTTTAAACACACCAGATTTCGAAGGGATCAAATCCTTCGAAGAATCAGGAACAATCTTCTCCTTAGGTGTCTCAGTTTCCATTTCAATCTTCTTAGGAGACTTAATCTTGGGTTGTTTCTTGGGACTTTCGATAATAACATCTTCTTCAGAAACCTTCGTTTTCTTCTTT